GTATTTTTTAAATTGTCTCCAAAAGTAGTTGTTTTGTACTTTGAATAAGAGTAAATTATTATACTTGGTTAAAAAAGTGAGACATGATAGTGAAAGCATAGCATTCCAGGAACAAAGATGGTGGTCAATGGTTAAAATTTACTGAAACAAAAAAAAAAAAAACAGAACGCTATGGAGTGCCATGATATCCCACATGGCATATAAATGAATATATCTAATTCAAATGTATATACCCGCAAGCAACCGCCCACCTATATACTTATATATGTATTTTTTCTTTTTATTTAATGTATGATGGATTAGCCGGAAATATAACTCAACGGAAAAAGGCGCATGCGTAGGGCTGTTTGCTCTATGGAGATCATATGTCGTCAATGTTTAAAACATGTATCCCTCCCTCTGAAGAGCATGTTCAAATCGGGCTATTAAGTTAACTTTATATCCCGACACGTTCCGATTGCACTTTTCATTACATTACCCGTTTTTACCTTCTTAAATTGATGGCTGTCGAATGTTTAAGCTCATTATCCGCCGGACGTTCACTTGGATTGATGTAACACAAAGAAAAGTCCGACTTGGATTGTAATTAATTGTCTAACACTGGATTCTCATTTACTTTTGGCGAATTAAAGGTTGAGTTAAAGTCCCAGGTTTATTCTGACTACTATCCGCTATTTTTTATCACAACGTTTCGGCTAGCGTGATGGTTAGACTTCTTCAGATATATCTTATATCCTGTCGTTCGTATTCTTCTTGCTGTTTCCTCGAAAATAACAATTCACAGATTGAGGTAATTAAATAATTACAGAAAGTAATAGTCATCATTATATGCAATTAGCTCGAACGAATTTCGACATTGATGAACTAAAATAGGAGAGTCAAAAGCACGTTTTTCCCATGACACCGCTTTTTCCCATGACACCGTTTTTTTTTTTTTTACCTACCCTCACTTTTCGGCAATGTTTCTTATTTTAAACAGCGATGATTAGAATTGTAATAAAACCGAAACATATAAAAGTGATTTTATACATTTGTTCTTGCGAATTGACAACAAAATAATAAACGCCATTAATTTTATTTTTAACGAACACTCAACAATTGTAATATTAATAATTGTCAACTACGTTTCTATGGCAGCTTTTAGCTTGACATGTGGGCTGTAATTATCAAATAATCTAAGAGGGGCTTATCATGTCTGTGGTTGATTTGAACAAGTTTCTTCTTTTTTATTATCCCACAAAGATCTGTTGGAACAGGTTATTCAACCTATACAGAGAAGCAATTCTGAGAGAACTGGAAATCCTTCGAGGATTCATTATTGGCAGCCACAATCATAAGAACATACGATACGCAGCTGACACAGTACTGATAGCAGACACGGAAAGTAAATTACAAAAATCTTCTACAGAAGGTAGCGAAGGAGATCGAGAAGAAGGGACTAAGCATAAACTATAAGAAGACAGAATGCATGGTCATCAGTAAAAAGATGAGCCCAAAATGCGATTTACAGGCAGGTGCGGAAATTTAAATATCTGGGAAGTGTTCTGACAGAGGACGGTAAGTGCGACGCTGAGATTCGAAGGCGTATTGGGATGGCCAAAGACACATTCCAAAACCTAGGCAGAGTATTACGAGACAGAAGGATTTCGTTGGCAACAAAGAAAAAAAGTACTGAACTGCTACCTGATGTCTGTCCTCCTTTACGGCAGCGAATGTTGGACGACGGTGTCGTCAAAGGTGGAGAAGAGACTCGAGGCAACGGAGGTATGGTTCTAGAGAATGATGCTAAGGATACCGTGGGCCGAACATGTGAGCAACGATGAGGTTTTGGAGAGGATTCAAACAAGGAGGAAGCTTATACTTAACACCAGGAATTTCTGGGACATATAATGAGAAAGGAGAGTTTGGAGAATCTGATACTCACAGGGCGGATAGAGAGAAAGAGAGACACGGGAAAGCAACACGTGACTTACCTATCGGGCTTAAGCAAGTGGATGACAGAACAGGGTTTGGGAGAAGTAGCAAAAGAACAGAACATTGTGAACTATAAGAAATAGGAGGAAGTGGGAGAACCATGATCGCCTACGCCCTGAAGCGACACGGCACATAGAAGAAGAAAGATCTATTTTGCAATATTTCGACGGGGTATACACCAACCTTCCTCAGGTATCTAGTTTATTCAGCAATGTTACATAATCTTGTTCATGGGGATCGGGCTTATCATCTCTCATACACGTCACTTCTAGTTCTTACGTTTGTTTGTCCTTAAAATTCTCTTTTCTGCATTGAATTTTACTTTGAAAGCACTCTTAACATTCTGGCCATGAATATGCAATCTCATATTTGTCATTTGTTCCTTCTTGATGTATCGTTCTCACAAGCTATAAATGTATATGCTCGGTCTACTGAGCGAGTTATATAATCATAGTATACTAGTATGCTAACGTTTTATTTTAACCTTCTTCTTCTTTAATACTATTCTCTGTTATTTTGGTGTCCCTTTTTCCTCCATGGTTAGCTACATTCTTTTTTTGAATTAATGCGTCTCTTCAGGACGTAGGCAGTCATGACTCTCCACAGATTCCTTTTCTTTATTGTCTCTGAGATACTATAAATGTTTATACAAATTAATGGAATACTTTCCAGTTTCTTCCCACATGCTTTTGGTTTTCCTTCTTTTAAACGAGTTACCACCCTAAGGCATGTACCTTAATTCCATAAAAATAGCACAAAATGAATAGGCGACCTGGATCACAGATATTCCTAATTTCATATATGCACCATTATCTTTTGAAAAATATTTCCTTCATTTTCATTTCCATGGCAGAATTTTCTTAAACCATTTTTGTAATATATATATATGTGTGTGTGTGTGTGTGTGTGTGTGTGTGTGTGTGTGTGTGTGTGTGTGTTATGGTAATTTACCCACACACGCATGGACTCTCCCAGCTATAAATAGGAGCAGGTACTGCCTTTTGTAGAGGGAAGTTTCCAGCAGTCAGCTCTGACATCGGACCGAACGTTATTGCTGTAACACTTTCGTTTGTATATGTTTTGTATTACTGTTTCTGTTAATATATTTGTTCCACTCAATTCCTTTTTTTGTGTCTTTATTTCTGGCCCCTATCAAGGCCACAACAATATATATATATATATATATATATATGTGTGTGTGTGTGTGTGTGTGTGTGTGTGTGTGTGTGTGTGTGTGTGTGATGCACTCTCACATCCATTTCGACGTATGAGCAATCGACAAACTCATTCAGTTTTTATGTTTGTGTCGTGACACATTAGACCCACTAGTGACCTGCATACAAGTCCGCATATTATACAACAGCGAAGATCTCGGGACATAGTCATAGGAATATTTGCTGATGCTTTTCGCCGTTGTCTTTGGTCTTATATAAATACACTAGTGGACAAATGTTTTTGGGCCCCGCTCTAAATTTCGAAAACTTACTTAAAATTTGAATTTTGCGTATCTTTTTCAAAAATAATTTGTACTTTCTTTTCCTGGAAGGTCTTCATATATTCAACAATAACAAAAGCACTTATAATAACAGTAATAATAATAATGATAATAATAATAATAATATAACCCATTACTGCCTCAAAATTTTAGGTCTTTTTGCTAAATATACCTTGCTGGCTAATTGTAATCATAGGCTGAATTAAAATTTTAGGGTCTCCCTGTTCTAAATGGAAGCCTTGCATAGATGAGTCAAATAGTCAGTATTCTAGCTTAGTAGGAGTTAATTAAATCAAAATGTACTATTTATTAAATAAAACGTGTGGTGACAAACATTTGGCACCCACACACCCACCTATATATATATATATATATATATATATATATATATATATAAATGAAAAAGTAAAAAGAAAACTTTCTACACAAATGCGTTTCGGTCCTTGAGGAAATTTATCAAGGTGCAGATTTTATTTCGTAATTTCGACTAAGATTTCCCTGAAATATTAAAAAGGATTTATGTTAACCTATACATTCACGTATAAATGCGACCACTATTTATCTATAGGTTCAAACAACTTTAAATAACCCAGCAAGTGTTGATTAATCACAAGATCGACTAGCCAACCCAACCCTCTCATGAAAAGAAGAAACAAACTAACGGAATCCTCCGCTGAGGAGACATATTTTTTTTATTTTTCAAATATGATAAATTTCCTTTTAAAATAGACTAATATTCTAACAGTAATTAATCTTACCCGCCAAATCAATAATATCCACATTTTATTTGCACAGGGAAAAAATATATACATTTTTATGTAGCAGAACAATGTTAGTAAAATCAATGACGAAGTGGAAAACGTTTTTCGCCTAATGCGTTTTATTCTTTAGGACTTCATCAGACATAAGCGATGTTTACTTTGATGCGATTATGTTGGTGCCAGGATAAAGACACAAGAGTGGATTTCAGTTAACAAATGTATTAACGAAAATCAGTAATACAATAATATACAAACGAGCAAGAATGTCCGAACTGTCAGAGCTGACTGGAAAAAACTCCCTCTGGCAAAAGCAGTACCTGCTTTTATTTGTAACTTAGAAGAGTCCATCCGTCTATGGTTAATTCACCATAACAGATTGCATGAAGGAGAGGGAACGCGTCACGCAAAACATTTCTTCCACTTTGTCATTGAATTTCCTAACAATGAAATATTAAATTGCTGTAATGATGTCTTTGTCCAAAATAGCCGAGAATTAGGAAGGCCGTGGTTACAAAGAGCATCAAAGGAGCAGAAGACTAGGTAGGAAAACAAAGAAGAGTTTTATTATACACTCATACATAGAACGGAAAGACTCGAATAAATCAACTCGTACTCAAACCCTACTCTAATGTGGCTACTTGCCATATTTATAAGTAAGGGTAGTCCACTGCCTCAGTAGTAGAGATGAGCATGAATTACGCTACCGTACAACATACATTTTGCAGATCGTCATTTTTATTATGCTGATTAATCTCTTTTAAATCTTGTAGGTAATGCCACCCGAAAATGTTATAGTGACCTCAGCTCGACAGGTACAAAAGCAGTGTGGGGCCGTCCAGATTTGGCGAAATGCGTCCATAAGGAATTCTTGGACATCCAACAGAGCGTAAGTACGCGGTTTATATTTGAATGTAAATATAACATAATTTATTTCTTGGGTGTCAACACAACTTTATCATCACTCCTCTTCGATGGTATTCATTAGGTTGATTATTTACTTATTTCACAATGGGCATTGATTCATTGTATGGGGCATTTTCTCAGGAAGAAGCTAATGATGGATAGAAAATTAAAATTCTACATTCTAAAATACAAAATCAGAAATTAGACAAGGATGCGTCTTCTCCCCAGTTTTTTTTTTTTTTTTTTTTTTACGGCGACGCCATCCTAAGGAAACCGGAGACCCTAACAGGATTTATTTTCAGTGGGCGTAATCTTAACAATATAAGATACGCAAATGACTCTGTGTTGATCACCAACTCGGAAAAGAAGTTGCAGCACTTCCTAGACAGGGCGGTAAAAGAAAGCAAGAAAAAATAACTGACCATCAACTGCAAGAAGACAGAAAATATGGTCATCAGCACGAGAAAAGTCCCAAGATAAGAGTTACGAACTGGAGGTATAAACATCAAGCAGGTGCAAAAGTTCAAATCTCTGGGAAGCGTTTTAACAGGGGACTGGACTAGTGAAAGAATCATTTCACAAGCTAAGTCGGTCATTATCACACATAAGCAACAATCAACGACTTTAAACGTTACATAATTTAAGAAAACCACCATTTAGATATGGCAGTTATTTTCCTTTGATTTTCTACGTCTGGATTTTTCGATAAAATGAACCATTCGACGATGTGAAGAACCCACTTAACTGTTTCGGTGAGTCCATTTTTCGGACAGACATTTAGTTATGAATCTTCTTCGCTATGGTTAACAGATTAATCCTCACTAGGGACCTACCCTTGTACCCAGGTTTAGTTATACGTTGAAACGTTTGAGATTTATTTGTCTTAGCAGAAGTTCTCAAGCGTAGGCCAGTAAGGATCGAACCTGCTGTTATAGCAATGGTTTGTGGAATTATCTTGATCATCTTTGCTCCTGGGTTAGGTAAGTACTTATATTATTTTTAACCATTTCACTCCAAGCAAGGCAATAAAGCCACTAAGTTGTGATTACTGAGTTTGAGAGTATATGAGAAAAAGAAAAAAAATAATTAAATAGAGAGAACAATAAAAGAACGGGAAAAAAAAAAAAAAAAAAAAAAAAAAAAAAAAAAAAAAAAAAAAAAAAAAAAAAAAAAAAAAAAAAATTAAATAGAAGATAGACGATAACGATAGACATTGCATTTAAATTTTTAAAGATCAAAATGGACCCAAAAGCAAGAAACCGGAAGAGACTTTCAGAACAAAAAATGCGAGAGAAGAAATTGGTAGAATAGAATTTACGGTTACGACAAGCCATTTTAACTGTTAAAATGATGTGACCTTACTGCCAATCTAGTACTGGGCTTAAATTCATAAATTAAATTGAAAAGTAATATTTGTAAGCTCAGTTGAGTACAGTACAAATGCTGCACCCGGACACTAACTCCGGATCGAATTCACTACATATGAAGTGGAAAACTCACTTGCAGTTCGTAGCTGTACAGCTGAAAGCTTATTTCATAATTTCTAATGTCTACAGGGTTAATAAAATAATTAACCCTATAGACCAGCGGCACTCAACCTTTTTGCGCCACAGACTGGTGCCATGCAAGACAATTTTACGCAACAGGCGGTCAGTGTTGGTTACGCTCATAACAAAACCCAAGGACTGCAATAGTCAATAAAATGGATGGAAAGGTCTTTCTCCTTTCTATGCCAAATGGTCCACGGCCCAGTACCAAATATTCCTCGGCCCGATAGCAAATGTCCCCCTGCCCGGTCCCAAAGTGTCCACGTCCCCATACAAAATGGTCCACGGCCCGGTATCAAATGGCCCCCCTGCACAGTACCAACCTGTCCACAGCTCCGCACCAAATGGTCCACGGCCCGGTACCAATTGGTTAATGACTCGGTGTCAAATGTTTAACGGACAGGCCCGAAATGGTTTACGGCACGATACCAAATAGTCCATGGACCGGTAATGATGGCTGCAGGCCGCTGCTGAAGACAACCTACTAGAGAATAATGCCACTGTCTCAATACCTTAAGTGTTGCTGCTGTGTTTTTCATAACAAAAATATTTGTACGGGTTGGCTTTACTAGCAATATACTAAACAATTTTTTAAATTTGTTCTTCTCCTAGTCTGGTTAACATCCAAAGCTACAGAGCCTTACTCAGGGAAAGAAAATATAGTCATACTTTCCAAAGCAATAGCCTCGACTGGTGTTTGAATGATTTCAATTAAGTTTTTAATAATAAAGCCCACCGACTAAAAGGCACGAGAGACATACAAGGTAGAGGCTTAGTGGTAAAAATGAAGATCGTGATGTGAATAAAAGAGGAGGTGGAAAGAAGTAAATGTCATGATGATAGGGAGGAAAGAAAACGACTGACCATAGATTTTGAGATAGTAAGATAGTAGTGTTCGTGGAAGCATACACAGGGATGATGTGTCCCACAAAGTAGCAGTTCTTGGGGAAAAGCTTTCTGATTAGAACTTTCTCTTTTCATCTGGAGTACGGAAAAAGTGAGGACGATTCGACTTCGTGGAAGCAGCAAGGCGTGTCTTAGATGTAAACATTGCTCTATTACCAGATATTCAGTTTAACATTGAACCATTTGTGCATGGGGATCAGTACGAATCGAAATTACTACATCTGTCACTGCCAGAGAGAGAAAGAGAGAGAGAGAGAGAATCATAGTGAGGCATCCAAAAAATAGGAAGCAATGGTAAAATATGGATAGAAAATGCGTACCAGACTTGTAGATATATTTAAAATCAATGCATCTTTGTTATAAAGATATTAATGTATTTAAGGACTGCTTATCAGAGACAAACCCCGGGAAACTAGAATGTGCGGCTACCGTGATTAAGTGGCCATAAGGCTAGACCATGTAGAATTTGCGATAACCAAGATTTTCAGTGTTTTAACTAATGTATTTTTTCGTTGTTTTTTAAACAAGAAAAGGTTCTTTACTTTTATGCTTTCTCTCCATCTAATTCTGTCTTTCCATTACAGGCGGAATATCTGTTGTCTCTACCGGAAGTTTCTATCCATGAAGTCACGACGATGACGCGGAGGATACTTAACATTACTCGGAGTAAAACTTATGGCAAAGTTAGTCTTTATCCGGGCGATTTGGCTGTGACGGCGGACACGTGTGGGTTGGTTGCTGACGTCATCGACCACACCAATGACCATGATGAGGGCTTGCTTCAAATTGTTGAGGTATGAAAATTTCTTTATTCAATTTCGGCCGCATTTTCATTTCGAGCTGAGAACTGGCGTTTTTTTTTTATCATCACAGAATCGGCACACCCAGATCGAATCTCGCTCACAGTTCTGTATATCCCAGCATGATATCGTCAAGTTTTTTGACAAACGGGTTCGTTTCCACTATGCAAGGACGGACTGTTGCTACCATTATTATGGAGACCAAGAAATAATTTGACATTTTACTCATAGTATGTTACACTAAACTACCTATCTCAAATTTTATTAATACTAGCTAAAATGGCTAGCACATGTAAATTGAAAATAACATAATGATATCGTCAATATGTTGACTTTCTGCACTGTTTTAAACAAAATATTAGTTAGGAAATCTTCATCAGTACTAGAAAGAGTGAAAAACGTTAGCTTACGCCCATATAGCGTTGAAACACCATGTTCCCGCACGATTATCGAAATAAAGCAACGTCTAGCCCGGTTAGTACATAGAAGGATGACCGCTTGAGAATACTAGGTGTAATAAGCTTCTATGTGGTGTAATGGATAACGGCTCGTAACTGCTAATCGGAGAACCGAGTTCGAATTCCCGCTGGATTCGTTATATTAATTTACGCGCAAATACCCTTGGGAAAGATATTAATCCACCTCTTCTCCCCACAGCTATGTGTTAGTTATTAAGACTTCTGTTATTATCTACAAAAAAATTCTTAGAATCTCAAAAATGTTTTCAGGCTTTAAATAACCTGTAATGGTTAGAAAACGAGTCAATCAATCAAATGTCAATAGTCTTGAGAAACCTATTTTCCTGAAAAAATTGTTTTAATAACAAGCTTTGATTAATTTCAAACGCCTATACCGGTACAGTAATGGGCTGCGTCTCAGATTGGCGAAACGTAGACCCGAGTTCGAATTCAATGGGTTCAACATTTCTACCTATTATGTTTTTGAGTGTTGTTTCATCATATTTGGTATTATTATGCATTTGGTTACAATAGTATAAGTTAATAGTATTATGTTTATTTTGACGTATACGATTATTATTAATATTATCAATTTTGTTAGAGGCATTCTTAAGTTTATTGAGATACATTTTTGACTAATGACGGAATTAGGAAATCCTTTAACAAGTTTTTTTCTTTAATGTTATGTAATTCTTTATAGAATATGGTTTTGGAAAAAGATATCATTTATGTATGTTGCATTAAGCTTTTTATAACGGTTAAATTATATCGTTAGGAGCATTCACTATTATAATCAAGAAGACACGAGTTAATGCTAGTGGGTTTCCTATATAGAGAAATAGTAAATTTCTGTGTGTTGGGATGAATAAATACATCAAAGAAATAAGTTTATTTTTAATATTAAGTTCTAGTGTAAATTTGAGGACGGAGTGATTGTCAAATTTGTTTTTACGTTGTGTAATTTAGCTAAAACGAAAATGTCACCTTACATATATAGGGATTTTATTAGTGTCATTAAGTATTTTATTTGCCAAATGTGCCATATAATAATTAGAAAAATGTGGCCTAAAGGAGATCCCATCGCAATACCGTCTATTTGAGTATAAATATTACCTAGGGGGTCATAAAGAGGTACTTGAGTGGTACATGCTAATAATATTTTATTTTAAATAGTGAGTTTAATATTGATGGGTACGAGAGAAGTGTGATTGTATACATCACGGATAATGTCAATCGTTTCATGGATAGGGGGCATTAGTAAACACATTTTGTACATGTAAAGATGCGATTATTTGGTTGTTTGTTTTTACAGCATAAAGAATTTGTATAAATTCATTTGTAGAGTCAATACAATATATACTTGGGAGGTAGGAAGTAATTAATTTGTTAAGGGTTTTTGAAAGGTAATATTCTAGTGTAGGTAGTTGTGAAATGATACGTTGGAGGGGATCTTTTTTATGGATTTTTACATTTCCATAAAGGTAACCAGATTGATACTCACCTATAATCTTTTGAAGTTTGTAAGTTTATATTATTTCAGCACTGTTAGCAGTAATAAGTTTATTAAGGTTTTTAAGTTGGGAGGTGGTATTATTGGTTAAGTTTTTAAATATATCATGATTGTTCAAAATGGCTTGTAATTTTAAGTGGTAATCCTGTTTTTTTTTTAAATAAGGAAAGTATTAGTTTTATCAGCTCGTCGGATAATACTGCTGTCATTTTTTACTTGTGTGGCTACTTTATCAAAGGAGTGTTTATAATTCCATTAGGATTTTTATGATAACGGCGTTTAAAGATTAGGGTTTAAGTAATTCTTTTAAACCTACCTGTGTAGTAATATGGTGGTCTTGTTCTAATAGAAGCATGTGTTGGTATAAAGCTTCAATTTGCGTTTGTTTAAACATTAAATTAGGTTTCAGTGCGACATAAAAATTTGGTCCAAGATGGAGGAATTCTATTTCATTTGAAGTGAGTTAGTAATCCGATAGGTTAATGAAGTTGTTGTTTATGTTTGGTAAAAGTATTTTTCTTTTATATAATTTGTTTAGCTTTTTGGGGGGGTGATTTGTTTATGAGATTCATTTTCCTTTTGTGCTGTATTGTATAAGAAATCCAATATTTTCTTGAATTTTTCAGTTGTGAGCGAATATCGTAAGATTTCTTTCATCCGAACAATTTCAGTGTTGAGCCGTTGTAATTCCTATTTGTCTGTAATTATTTGTTCTTTAATGAAGCTCCATTGTTGGGAATCGTTTAATCTTGTGGCATCATGTAATGGGAATTTAGTATATTAGAGCAGCAGATCATTATTCAAAAATATATTGGGAAATATAACAGACACACATTGTCTATTATGTTGGATCATTAGCCGTCCTAAACTTCGTATAATTACTTTAATTTCGGGAGATAATAAAGACAAAAATTGTCCAACATTTCCAAATGTTTTTATTATGCCGTTCCTTGATCTAAAATTTCAGTTTACACACACACACACACACACATACACACAGACACATACATATATATATGATAGATAATATATAACATATAATCATATATATATATATATATATAGATAGATAGATAGATATATATAATATATATATATATATATATATATATATATATATATATAATAGTACATGTGAAAAGTGTGTGTATATAAATATATATATATATATATGTGTGTGTGTGTAATATATTATATGTATATTATTATTTATATATTATATGCGCGGTACTTATTAGAAAGCGCTCCATATTAGAGATAGAGCTAACGTATTTGGTTGGATAGATGTGAGTTTGTGACCCTGGGTTTCACGCTTTTGCGATCGTCAAACAAACTGATTAATTTTTAAAAATTTATAATAGTGTAATATATATATATATATATATATATATATATATATATATATATATATATATATATATATATATAGAGAGAGAGAGAGAGAGAGAGAGAACTAGCTTCTATAGCCTTGGATGGCAACTGGTCTAGGAGAAGAATAACTCTGAATTCAAAACGTTAGGGACCTTGCGGCACGTAGTGCACCAGGTCTCTGTATTCAGACCTCCAAAAACCTTCACCGCTATAATCTAATCATATGTGCTGGTGTCCAGGCTGTCGGTTTCTAGGAACTGAGCTCTTTGACCCTCATACGTCGAATACGACGGACGAGTCAACCATATATATATATATATATATATATATATATATATATATATATATATATATATATAGATAGATAGATAGATAGATATATAATAATATATATATATATATATATATATAATATTACATTTGAAAAGTGTGTGTATATAAATATATATATATGTGTGTGTGTGTAATATATTATATGTATATTATTATTTATATATTATATGCGCGGTACTTATTAGAAAGCGTACTTGTTAGGTACTTGTTAGGTACTTATTATTCAAATTAATTTCTTCGTAGATTGTTTTAAAATTTAGATATTTATCAAACTTTAACCTCCCAAATATGCACGTTAAAGTAACGCGAACTGACAGCGTCTAAGAATTTGAATGAAACCTGTCGTGTAATTTATTGGGGTTGTTGTAACGTCTTCCTTTAATGTAGTTCTTATCGTTCACCCCTTATCTACCTTTATCTAGAGACGAGACGCGTTAAATTTGAGCAACATCTAGCCGACACACTGGGGTTAAAATAGGAAACTAAAATGATACATATGACACACTCATATCCTCTCTCCCACCTCACTTCCTCACTTCGTTAACTTTGCGTATACTTGATGAGGTCCGTAAAAAACGTGTGAATTTCTTTTCATTTTTCATTTCCGCTTTTGGAAGTAAAATCTGATGATCCAGAACCCTGTTAAAGGGGTTATGGTGAAATAGCTTATTACATGGAATCTTAACGTGGTCTGTCTTTTATTCAAACATATCTGCTCTGAATTTTACATTGAGCTCTCTGGATATCATTCTCCTCGGGTCTACCCATACGGATTACCTAAATTTGCATAAACTATATATATATATATATATATATATATATATATATATATATATATATATATATATAGAGAGAGAGAGAGAGAGAGTTAGCCTTATCCTAAATAAGCGCAGTTACTTTTTTGTCAATTAATACTTTCAGTTAGTCTAATTACGAACAGTAGTTGTTCGAATCAATACTGTGTGCGGATGGATCTTGTACTAGAAAACGCCCCATTACGCTATTTATGACTGCATCACTTTCACTGAAACTTTTCTATGTTTAAAGTTTTAACGCTCAACAATTTCTTTCGCTTGACATTTGATCAACTGTGTTCCATGTTGTTGTAAATTATTCACTTTTCATCATCAGTATCAATTTATTGTTAAACTGGAACATTTTCGTTTAAGACGTGAATTGCACGTTGTCATATGCCCAATTAGGATTTTTTGGAAGTCTCGTATCAAAGTGACAAACATAACTAAAAACACCTGGTTTACCCAACCGTGGAGCATCTCGAAGCGAGAAATCTCCAGCATGAAATTTCGCAAAAATATTGACACGTTTGA